TTGTGCCTTTTCCTGGGCTCTTTTCCCTCTGTTTTGTGTCCTATTCCGATGTGTTAGTTTTTGCTTTATCTTTTTATATTTTATTATTATGCCTTAGAAGCCTGTTTGTTTTCTAATGAGAAACAGAAAGGCACTGGATCGGGATGGAAGGGGAGGTGGGGAGGAACCGGAAGGAGTAGAGGGAAGGGAAACCATAATCAGGATATATTATATAAGGAAAGAAATTATTTTCAATAAAAGAAAAAACTTAACAAAAAATACAGCTAGAGATGGTCTCTTCTGACTGGTCATTGGTGGCCATTTGACATCCCATGCTCAGAAAAGCAGAAGGGGAAATGGAGCATCATGCCTGTAATCCTAGCACTTGAGATGCTGAGGCAGGGGTATCAGGGTTGGGCTACATAGTGAGTTCCAGAATAAGCTGGATGAGAAAAGAGGGGAAGAGAACCCCAGAGGTTCTCCAGAGGGGATGTGTGTTGCTTCTGGAGCCTCTGAATAGTCACAGGAGAGGGCTGGTGCACGCTAGAGTTGGCATTGAGCTGGTTGTGGTATGGTGAGCCTGCCTGTAATCCCAGCACTGGCAGAATGACAGTGGGTTCAAGGCCAGCCTGGCCTACAGAGAGAAATACCTCAAAAACAGTAGTCTTTGAGGCAGCCCAAATATCAGAGATAATCTTGGCTAAAAGCATATCCCAGCTTCTCACCCACATCCCAGGGATTTGTGACTTTACGTGGGAAGGATCATGGTCTTACGAGTTCTCCAAGGTAGCTCTGTCAAAACTGTGCTGACTTGGTTTGGGGCTGCTCTAATAGAATGCCATAGACTTCAAGGCTCAAACACAATGGAGATTTATTCCTCACAGTTTGGAAACCTAGGTGGTTCACGACAAGGCACCGCAGATTTTCACTGGTCTCCGGTGAGGAGCCGTCCCTTACTTCGGTGGTTTGTGTCTGTGTTCTCATAGGGATGAGGGATGGGGTGGGCTCTCTGCACCCTCCTTTGAGGATGCTAATTCCTCTCCATCTTACCACCTCCTAAAACCCTCACATTGTTAGGATGTCAACATGTGACTAAGGCGGGGGTCACAGGCGCTGAGTCCAATCACCAAATCACAAGAGTCACATGAGCGTAGACACAAGCCAGAAGTTCCCAGATCTGCTGATCAGAATTTCTAATCTCACAGCCCAGAAGTGCTCAAGCCCCTTGGGGCCATCATCATGCTGGTGTTACATAGACCCAGAGAGCTGCAATTTCCCGTAAGTTCTATGAAACAGCTGCCCCCTGAGAAGTCCACTCTGGAAATGTGTCTTGTTCCGCCACAGGGTGATAAAAACGACTGTTTAAATACCGTAAAGTGATTCAGATCTTTATAGCCCAATGGACTCAAAACATTAGTTTGGTCTTTCACAAATTGTCCCCTTCAGGGAGGTGGGGCTGGGGGTGACCCATGGCCACCAAGAATATCACCAGCCTAATGCTGGTGATCGACTTCCATCAATCAGGAAGTCATTCTTTCACCCTGCACCCAGCCATCACTTTCTTCCAGAGCCAGGCTACACCGTAGACTCTGCTAAGCTCTCCTGGGTCTCCTTTCTCTTTAGCTATTTATCGTATTCCATTCTGTGTCCTTTGCTGCCCTGGCCCTCATGGCTTCCCTGCCAGCAGCCTGCTTTGTTTTTTAGGACTATCTTCTTTCTCTTTCTTTCAAAATGTTCTCCCTTATCTCCTTTGGTACCACAAAAGGTCAGGAGCCAAACTCATCACCAGACGAGAACCAAGTGTCCCCATTTGCTCCTTACCTTGACCGGAAATTAGTCCAGCCCCGCCATGGTGTGATTATTTGAAAGAAGTCTCTTGTTCCAATCAGTCTCCTCTCCCAGGATGGAGGCAGGGAGAGAACTCCTTCTAACCTGGACCCTCTTCCCCCCAGAGCTCCCCCTCCGGCCTCCCGCCCTTGTTATACCAAGGGCTCTTTTCCTCAGGCACCCTCCATAATGCTGCTCCAGGTGTTATACACCCTACACGGGAGACATTCACAACCTCAACTCCTGAAGAGCAGATACAAATGGCCAAGCTGCCGATGGCCACCATGTTGACAAGAGGAAGGACCAGAGACTCTGACAGGAGAGGGGATGTGGAGAAGAGTGTAGACAGCATGCCTTGGTGGAAGACTTTCCATGGTGCTGTTTACATTTTGCCCTTAAATGTCACATCCCAGTGTACCAGCCTGGGGAGAAGACAAACACTGAAAGCAACCTGCTAGGCGACTCAAGAACGCCCAAGGACACTTTCTTTCTCAGTCTGAGTGCTTACCACTATCTCCCGATCCACTGTCAAAAGTCCATTCTTGCCTGGCGGTGGTGGCGCACGCCTTTAATCCCAGCACTCGGGAGGCAGAGGCAGGCGGATCTCTGTGAGTTCGAGGCCAGCCTGGTCTCCAAAG